AAATACATGGTGCAAATAGCCATGTCTTTTTAATAATGTAAAATGTTATTAAACAAAGGCTACATTTTATCTAATTAAATAACATGTAGGAAATAGAATAAATGTTTAAACATTAGCAGCTATGCAAAAATATGGCTATCACATAGGAGAAATATGACTATTTCAGAGTAATTAAAGTAAATAAACATCAAGTTTATAATACTCTCCCTGTATCAAAGAACTGAATGCTTTTCCAGAGAAACAGAAGGACTATTACTTACAGGTACCTTTCTGTTTAAATAGTGCAAATATATACCCGTGAAATCCCTTTTAACCTTTTAAAATGTGTATATGAATTCAAAATAAGCATAGCACATACTGTATATGATTTTTCTGATCCGCTTTTGCTTCTTCCTCTCTTTCCTTGCTATCTGTCATTCAGTTACAAGCACAGGATACCTTTCCAACACAATCTATCCACACCTGTGATTGCACTGTGCAAGTCTTCATAGTACAAGCATTATTAGCAGCTATTTTTTTTAATTAAATACAAGCATTACAAAGCAAATGATTATCCAAGGCTCTTATCTTTTTGTGTTGCATTTACCAAGTGCCATTTTGTGAGAAAAGCAATAAAAACAGTTCTGTAAAATGTCCCTGGAAAAACATGAGTCAAATCCCTGGGTCCTTTACACACAGAGACCATCAAGTTGGCTCTTGAAGGTTCCCATAACATCTGGTGGATCTGGAGAAAATAAAGTACCATCTTGGGAGTGCTGTTTTTCTAAAGGAATTTTTGCCACACATAACAACTTCTGAGTTGTTTTTACCAGTTACAACAAGTTAGAGCAGCTCTGAGGATGAGAGGTCTCCTTTTACCCGACTGACTGTGGGAACATGCATATGTTTTGATAAAGGATAATTTAAAGCAGCTAGAGGGACTGATCTGTCACAGGGAGGTGAACCCCGATTCCAGAGCACAGCAAAGTGACACTTGGATTCCCCATGGTCACACTCCTTTCTGCTGTCAGGGAGCCCTGTGGCTGTAGCAGCTTCACCTCCAAGCACTTTGCGGCGCGTGGCATCCCGGACCGACTGCGAAGGGACATGGCCTCCTGAGCGGCAGCACGTGGCGAAGCTCCGGGAGCCAGGTACAGTGTCCTGAAGACGGTGGATGGGGAGGGACAGATGCCTTCCTCAGTAATAACATCAGAGATTTTCTTTTACATTATCTTTACCTGATACTTGTTTTTTTCCTTTTTTCTTCTTTTCTTTTTTTTTCCTTTTTTTTCATTCATTTTTTTTTCTTTGTCAGTATCCATAAAGCTCCATTGTTTTTCCAAGGCCAGATGTTTCATGACAGAAATATCTGGCCAAGTTCAGTGTGTTCTCCTGCAGCCTTAGTCACTGGGAATAATGTTAGCGAAGAAAGGGGCCAGCTCAGTCTTTCTGTCCTGGAAAGAACTTGCTCACTGCACTAATGCTTGTAAAAGGGCTGCAGGTCCAATATAGTTTGCAGGAAGAGCTGGGGCTTTGCTTTTCATTGATTTTGTTTCACTTTCTTAATTTCTTAATTAAGAAATGGTAGTGAAATGAAATATTGAATATCTTTAAGATCTGTCACAAGTTCCCAAAATCACCTCCAGGGCAGATCACCAACAGCAAAAAGTGGTTGTATGTGGAGTTTTACTTTGTTCTCATGTCTCTGAAAAAAGTCGGTCTGAGAAAACGTCCTTGTAAAGTGACATTACTCATGCAATGAGTGACATTTCTCAGCAACCTTCTGTCACAGTGATCAAGCTCCTGAATACCCAAGATAACTAATGCTTGACAAAAACTCTCATTTACTGGGATTTTACAATCCGCTGGTGTTCCTGCAACTGCAGCAGAGTTACTCTTGACGTACTCCAGCTTAAAAGAGATTGGATTCAATGTGTTTTGATTTGTTGCTGTGCATCTTGCTTAGGCATTAATAAGGGCTTAGCTCTGCAACCAAGAGGTCAACAGAAGATTTCACCAATGTTTAAGAGATACACTGAGATTTCCAGCTAGAAGTGCAATGTTGTTGTCCTTGGTTAATCAGATCTGGAAATTAAAGTCAGGGTGAATTAAATTCATTTCTGTCACAGTGGAGATTGCTACTGGCATACTGAGAAAGAAGGCTAGGCTGCCAGTTGCTGAAATGTAGATGCATCCTTTTGCTCCTATGTGTAGCTTTGCACGTTGTTAAAGGTGCACCGCAGAGGGGTGCTACTCACTGACGCAGGAGACTGGAGGGCAAGAGAGGAAGTATCCTGCTTGTGCTACAGAAAAACAACATTCTGGTGTTTTCTTGAGGCTTACTGAGTTTTGTAAAAGCTGGACATTGTGACATATTCATCTTCATTACTTGCCGATCTGATTTCACTGTTTGGCTGCATAGGTGATACCGGATCTGGTTGGGTTTGGCCTGAAGGGTACAAGGGAGGAGAGCAGTGGAGGCTGGGACCACCGTTGCACAGGGCCACGTTGCTGCTGCAAACTTCATATGTGCTGGAGCTGCTAAACTCTTCAGTGGTCAGAAATTGGCTTTTACCAAAAGACCCATTCAAAGCTTCATCTGGCCAGATTCCTCCGTAAGTCACAGGCAAGTTTAAGTGGCTTTTGTTTATCCTAGTAGGGCTCATCTTCAGGTTTGATCCACTCCTATCCTTTTCTGGAATATTTGCCCGCAGAGCAGCTTCCATCTGCAGAAAGCTTTCCATTTCAGCTCTTGCTTGAATGCCATCCACTTTATGGATATGAACATAGCCAAAACTCTCTGGGTTAAAGCTTATATCAAAATTCTGCATGGCAAAGGGAACATTGTAGTCAGTTAACAGTAAGTGCTGAGAGTGCTGACTTAACAGAAAAGATACTTTGATAATGACCTCATGGAGAGCAGCTCTGTGGACAAGGACCTGGTAGTCCGGGTGGACAAGTTTAGCATGAGCCAACAACATGTCCTTGTGGCCAAGAAGGCCTATGGTCTCCTGGAATGTATTTTTAAGAGCATTACCAGCAGGTCAAGAGAGATGGTCCTGCCCCCTTATTCAGCCCTGGTGAGGGCACATCTGGAGAGGGTCCAGCACCGGGATCCCCAAGACAAGAGGGTTATAGAGCTACTGGAGAGAGCCCAGTGGAGACTACTAAGGTGTTGAAGGGACTGGAGCATGTCTTCTATGAGGAAAGGTTGAGAGAGCTGAGACTTTTCAGACTAAGGAAACTGAAGGGGGATCTTACCAATGTATACAAATATTTGAAGGGATATTTGTCAGGAGAATAGAGCCAGAGTTTTTAAAGTGGTGCCTAGTGATAGCACAAGGACAATGGGCACAAACTGGAACACAGGAAGCTCCGTCTGGACATATGAGAAAAATTTTATGGTAAGGGAGACTGAGCACTGGAACCAGGTGCCAGGGAGACTGTAAGTTTCCTTCTTCAGAGATACTCAAAACTTGCCTGGATGTGATCCTGTGCAATGTGCTGTGATCTTAGAATAATATTTATTTCTTTAAATCTAAAAATACCCTTGAGAAGATGTCCCAACAGATTACCAGAGAATTAGCTGTGACCTGTCTCAAATTCCTTTCCCATATTAATTTGAATCTGTCTAGCGGTGTCTTCTAGACAGTGGCACCGGAGAAGATTTTGTGGTCGGTGCAGCATGTTAGTGCTGCTTTACAGATTCTTCTGAGCCAGATATCTACCACACACCTGCCATTTCATAAGAATGAATGTGTCAACCCACATAGTTCCTTTCAGTTTTCTGTTCCTAATTTAGCAATGTGGGAAGGAAATGTCTATCAAGACTTCCTGAAATATATTAGGGACGCTTGCACTGGAGAACACAAGAGATTAAGGAACCTTTTTAGAGTTTTGAAAATTAATGATTTGCTAGTAATGCGCTAAGCAAAGGCAGCTGTTCATTTGGCAGAAGAGCACTGATGAGTTTCCAAGTGAAAAAACACATAAGGCCCAGTTGTAAGCCAACTGGTTGGCTTGTACAATTGTACAAACCTCATGGTCTGTACAATAGGCCTTTGTCTGAGAAAAAAAACAAGAACAAAAAAAAACATTTTATTTGTTTTATGGAACATGAGCAGTTCTGTTGGTTTATAAGGCTGAGCATCACCTGAGCATCAGCATGCACATTTGCAGGGTCTTCTATCCAGACTCCTGATCACAAAGTCACAGGAAAGTGTCTGTTGGAAAGAACCTCTGGTTCATTCTGGTCCATCTGGTCCAACCTTCTGCCAGAAGCAGAGTCTTAGGTTAGATTATCCAGAGCTCTTTCAGGTTAAATCTTGAGTATTTCCACAGAAGGAGTTTCTAATTTTTTCCAGGCAATTTACACAATGTGTAATTTTTCTCAAAGTGATTTTTTTTTTCTTATAACTGAAATTCAAATTTTCCTGAAGCTGCTTGTGACCATTGCCTCTTGTCCTATCGCCATGTATCCCTGCGAAGAGGATATCTCCATCTTTTCTATACACTGTATCTATAGTTACCTTTTGGATATTGGAAGGGTGTGATTAGATTCCCTCTGAGTTTTTTCTTTTCTAGACTGAACAAAACCTATCACGTTCCATCATATATCCAGTTCTCCAGCGCTCTACTTTTATTTTTGTGTATGTGTGTGTGTGTGCAAATCAGATCAGGCAGGCGCTTGAACTGTCTTATCCTCCAACAGCATCTGCCTCAGCAAATCCTACCTCTCTTGAATAAAATTTTTAAGTTATTCTTGGCAGACGGCCTAATCCCTAGCAAATGGGCATCCCGTCATGGATATTAGTTATGTTCTCCATGGCTTATAGTCATGCAATAAGAACAATAGATGTACATACATTTTTTGGCTTCTTGCACAGTTGCTCCAAAGTTTTTTTGTGATCAGGAAGGTTTGGCCACACAGCAGGCTTGATCCTGAAACAGTAATGTTTGTTAGAAAAAAAGGTGCTCAACAGTAGCAGAGGGAGACATGTTGTGATCTATGAGGTTCATTCTGCATTATTTGTACTAATCCTTGCAGTCTTAGAGGTGGTTTGCATGACTCAGAATGAATTGAAGACTCAGAATAAAACAAATATAGGAGAAGAAGAGCCAAAAGGTCACCCAATTGTCATTGCTCTTCAGAATGCACAGACTGTCATGGTTAAAGGAAGACTCTTACCCACTGCTGGAAAAGCAGCAAATTGTGCTGGCAAAGGTCTCATTTGAATATGGCTATTTTAGCTGGGTTTTTTGTGGTAAAAACAACTTCTGCAAGTGGAACAAGCTGATGTGGTTAAAGTGCAAATTTGCACATGGAATAGTCTCTATTAAACAAAGAATTGCACATTGTTCCACTCCCCGGCCAACTATCTGTGCTTTAGACTTCTATGCTGTGACCTTATCCCATAAGTGTCATCTTATTGCCTTAATTAGTTGTCTTGCTGTGCAACTCAAGATCTTCAGTGATGCTATAGCTAGAAAATATTGCCCAATTGACACTTAGTGTTGCAGTGATATGGATAATATAGATACAGATGTATATGAGCATATATTTATATGTCTGTGCATACACACACGTAAAAACCTTCTCATGTTTAAAAAGGGGCCCTCAGGTTTTAAGGGGCCTCACTGTCTAAAAAGTGATTTTCTAGAGATTTTATATATGCAGAGCTTTTAGTGAAGTTAGGAGAATTGAAGGTGCTCACGAACACTGAAAAGCATGGTACAGAAATTTCAAATTATATCTATACTAGCACCAAATGTGACCTCCAGCAGGATGGGCTTGTGGCCTCTCCCCAGAGACTGCTGCCATGTTGCTTTTGAAAGGGTTAAAGTGTAGACATCCTGTTGACTCAGCATACGAAAGCAAAATAGACAATCTCTCCACTAAATAGTTTTCAAACCTCTTGAGATTCCAGTAAAGCCTATATTCACAAACCAACTATGCCTTCAGTGAGACTCTGATGCTGTGTTTTGTGCTAGCTTCAGCTCCCTGAAAATCCCAATGTTTCAAGCCCAAGACTGAGGTCCACTCTTGAAGTGGTAGAGGATAAGAGTTTGTCTTCTATCTACCAGCACTCTCTATTGCCACTTCTTTACTCTTTGCCCACCTTTGGCTTGAAATAGAGATGGAAAGAGAAAGTTCATAAGTATAACAGGGAAAGTAGTATGACTGTCAAAATACAATTGGCTTCCAACTCTTTTGAATATGAAGAGACTTAGATTACCTGTTTTCCCAAAAAGTTAGGACTAGGACAATCATGACAATCGACAAAATTAATCCCAGTATGCAGAGTATAATCATGAGCATATCGGTGTCTAAAAAAAAAAGAAAGAAAGAAAGAGCATCTTCTATTGCATCTAAATGTCTTACTTAGCCAGTGTAACTGTAATGTAGCTGCAGGCAATAAATTAGAAATTAATGCCAAACACTAGGATCCCGGGGGTTCTGTTGCCACAGGGCACAGCCGCACTCGGGTGTCAGGGCACACCTGATGGCAGCCTGAGGGCCCCACCTCCACATGCTCAGGCTGAGCTTTTTCTCACAAACAAAAGAAAATATTTTTTTCCCCTTACCTTTCTCCAGTGAGTGTTCCCTGCTTGTTCTGAAGCTCTTGGAAGGGCTCCACTCACTCCATGTGCCCCTAAAATAATCTCCATTGGGCTCTGAACGGACCCTCACCTCATACGATGCATCTTTTTCAAGATTTTTCCCTAGTAATTTTATCTGCAGGTATTGAGACTTTATTGTCTGAACACGGAAACACAAAAAATCCATTAATTTGTTTATAAAAGATGAAAAAAAGAGAGACATCACACAGGGAAACATTTTTTTTTTTTAATTCCAAGCTTTCGGCTATGCATAAATATGAGGCTAGATGCATCCTTGCAGCCCTCTGCTCTTTGCTCTGTGTGTTGCAAAGGCTACCCTCATTACCCTCACAGCGTCAGCCTGGCTCCATAGCCAGGACAGCATCAGAAAGGACAGTCAGGACAGTAGCAGAAAGCGTGTGAAATGGCAGTAAGGCCTGCCTGGGCAAGAAGGGTACTGTGCTAATTCTGGTGAGGTAACGGGCAATATACACTAACTTGGAAGACTCAGAAGGGAGAAGGAAAAAGTAAAGAAGACTATGGTGCATAAAAAGACAACTTCTGAAAGTGCAACCGGTTCCTACAAAGTTGCAGCCTGCAATATGGTGCAGGGAGAGCTGCAGGGGTGCTCGCAGGAGAGCTGTTGCTGCACAATCCCCAGGCTAGGGAGGCTGTGAAGAGAAAGAGTCAGGAAAACCTATTGCTGTGGAAAGAAAGGCCAGGTCACAGGCTGTAACACTGGACATCACACCACCTACTAACTGGTAGGCACAGAAAATAAGAGCAAAGCCATCACAGAAAACCTCACTACTAATAATATTCAAGATGGTTCTGTTTCTTTATTACTTTTTCTATTTTCACTGCAAGGCACAAGCACAAATGAAGTCCAGAAAAGTATCTAGTTGCCACAGTTGCTGTCAGTCTGGAACTGTCTCAATTAATAAAATATTGAATACCATCCCTTGCATCTTTCCCGGTTTTCAGCTGGAGAACTCTAAAAGTGAAGATTTGACTTTTTTTTTTTTTTTAACCTGATACTGGCATTTCTGGTAATGTTAATTTCAGAAATTAATGAAAACATTGCCACTTACCTTCCAAATCCCTTCTTTCTGACGATAGTCTATTTGGTGTATTAATTTGTCCTTTAAGTATTTCTTCCACGAGTGTGGTGTACTATAATGAATAAGATATTCATTTGCCTCCTTTTGGTATGTGATGTTTATATCAAAAGGTATTTCTGGCTTAACTGCAAATGACAACAAAACAGGATATGATAAGATCAGATTAATGCTACTCCAAAATAAACAGGTTTGGAAAAGCCCGTTCCAATCTCGACCCTCTTGTGGGTGACCTAGCTTGATGTAAGGAACAGTGTGGGGCTGGCCTGGCCTCGCCTGCGTGAGCCTACTGACAAGATCCACTTCTTCATTTTAATCCCATCCTAAGTGGGGCCTGGAGTCCAACTTGCTGTAGCAGAGAAACAGCAGGGACAGCGCTGCCCTGGGCTGTGATACTGAGTCCTTTGAAAATAACGGCAAAGCATCCCATATCCTTGCACTGTCTCTGCTTGAAGACCTGAGGTTCAGTCCCTCTAAGCAGGGCTCTTCAGTTCTGTTTACTAAATTATATTTAACAAGCAACCTGTCAGTTGCCATGGTTGAGCCTTCAACACTGAGCTGTAACTAACTGCGATGTGGATGCTGCTAGGAAGGCAGTGTTGGCATTTCAGTAGTGTTATGATGCAAACCTCTAAGTACCTGGAGAGGGACTCTGTAATGAGGCGTTTCATGGCACAGAAATCTGATCCGGGCTGGCCCACAAACTGAGATGAAGCCTAAGATGAATACTGAACTATGCTAGGACAGAAATGCTCCTTAAGAAAAGGATGTCAGCGTCTATATGTTCCTCAGTATCCTTTCTGTGCTGTGGGAATCATGAGCATTGGCTTTGCACTGTTGATTCCACCACGAAACAAGTCATGAAGAAGTGAAATCTTGCATCCTCCTAAGCCCTGTGTGAAACTGAAGAGTGTCTGCTGAGCTCACACTATGTTGTCAGTCCTGGAACTGCAGAAGTCCTAGTAAGAGATGAACAAAATGTCCCTGCTTGACATTTCAGCAAATCACCAAAATAGCTATTTCACTCACCCATATAATTTGACCTAGGTCTAGGTCTGGGCAAATAGTGTGTAATAACAAGCCAGAATTCAGCTGCACTTTTTCAACAGACCACACTATATTTTGAAGCAAGAGGAACATTACACTCCACTATAAGCTAAAATCCAGCACAACCTACCACTGACCCTCTCCTAGGACGCTATTTAATATTGCCTCTACCTCCTCTGGATTGATCTTTAAGATTTGTGCTGGACTGCTTCGTTCCTAGTAGTTTATATATCTCAGTAATGAGCAAAATGTTAGATGTCTTACCAATTTCAGTTAGTATCAGGCTCTTGCAGATCTTTCTTTTCATCTCAGAGTCCATGCAAACGTATCTTTTTGAGAGTATATCAGTAAACTGCGAGAAATACTCATCTTCATGTTTCTCCATATTGGAACATATATAACTGCTGTCTTCCTTGGTACTGTTGACCAAAGTGACACAATGTTAGTTTCCTCTCAGTCTTACTATAAAACAGTTAGGGACAAATTTCACATTAACTGAAGTGAGATTCCCTATGAATAATAAATAAGAAATTTTACCACACAAAAATATTAAAAGATTCATATTGTTTTTAGTCACTGTCTGTAAGCATAACGATCAAGTGATGTAAATCACAGTAGAAGTCCTGGAGCTCTCCAAGGAAAAAAAAATACCATTATTTATTTGGATATATATGTGTTCAGAAGAGTTGTATTTTAAATATGATCTTTCTGCTGACATTTGTAAATACAGAGCAGTATGTTTGGATGCTTGCTGAATGTAATGAGAAATTTCTTACTGACTGCAGTGGAAGCAAATACAGGATCAACACTCAGTCAGGCCATGAGGAAATTAATGGCACAGTTGTTTTATGAGTGGAAATATGTCTGTACTCCTACATCTGTGTGACTCCCTGATAGAGGACTGTCACAAAATTTCAGTCAAAGCCCAGAATTAAGCCCTTGAAAATAGAAAACAGAAAAATTCTAACTCGTTGGAAATAAATAATGATTAGAATAGCGAGATTAAAAAAAATCACTTTTGCTGGCTGCCACAATACTTTCAGTTTCAGGAAAAACAGGCAAAGGGAAAAGCAAAAGTATGCATAAAAAAAGAGCTTCTTCAGCTAGGTGCACCAGTGACAAAAATAAGGTAGAAAAGAATTTCATGGCCTCAAGAAAAAGTGGAGATGATTGATGTGTTTGGTAGCTGATTGGGTGTTTGTGTATTCATTCTGGGATTTATTTCTATATCTTGGTATGTGAGAAGACAATTGCTTAATTTTTATCTTGGACATATAATGACAGCATTCCTCAGTGGAAAACTTCATACTTTCACACGAAAAAATTTTGTGGAGAAAAGATCTGCTTCTACAACGTTCCTACGTTGTTTTCTTTGACTGATATGTAATTTAAAAGGAAAATGTTCTTTGCACATGCTTAGCTACACCAGTAGAGCATATGGTTCACAGTAGAAGAATAAAGAGCAGGAATATTACAGATGTTATAATGCACATTACAGATCTTTTTGGCTAATTTTTTTTTATTTGGGGGATTAGATCTGCTTCAGTAAATTCTTATCTTTTGCTGAATATAATACTCAAACTTGGTAACAGAAACTTGGAATTCTTTGAATTCTTGGGATTCTTTGAATTCCAAGTGAATTAGAAGCTTTGTCTGTTTTTTCCAATCCACTTTCACAGAATATGCTGAGGTTATTCGCGAGTTCTTAGCATTGAGGCTTCCCAGAAGCTTTACCAAAGGACAGACAGTGACACCACTTACCACACAGCCAGGCTATAGTTAGTGTCGGGAGGAGGCAGCTCCGTGAAATTGCAAGTCAAGCTGCTGTAGGAATCCTTAAATTCCAGCTGACTGAAGCAGTTGATGTCCAAACTGTCTGGTTCATCATCTCCAAAGGTCCCTAAGGAGAAATTACAGAAAACTGATGAAGGAAACTTACTACAGAATCACAGAATGGTTGAAGTTAGAATGTACCTCTAGAGATCATCTAGTTCAACCCGCCTACTCAAGCAGGGTCACGTAGAGCACGTTTCACTGGATCGCATCCAGGCAGGTCTAGAATATCTCCAAAAAAGGATAATAATGTAGTACTACACATAATAGGTAGGATATAGAGGTGGGTATGGTAATGGAAATGACATTGTGGAGCGGTTCCTGCATAAGCATTTTCCAGAAATAAATCTCAGATGACATTTGCAGAGATGTGCTTGGAACCATAACATTTCAGATTATTTGAAGTTTTAAGGCAAGCTTAATAAAGATTCATAAAAGAATTGCATTCTCCTTAATCGATTGCAAATGCTCATAGTTAGCCCGAAGCTGCTTTCAGATGCTGATGATTATAATATTCTCAAGTCTGTTTCCAGACAGTCTTAAAACTTACTTCATTTGTTTTACAGATCTACTGTAAAACGGGTTGTTTCTTTAAGTTGTTGGCTAGAAGGAAGAGAATCAATCTATCAGTTTTATAAGAGGAGAAGAAAACTTGCTCAAAATGAAAGAAAAAGCCCCTTACATCTTTCAAGTTTTTTCTCAGTGTATGTGACTGAACACCCCTGCTGAGAAAGCATGAAGGTTCACTCCAAAGGATCGTTTTTTTGTGAACTATTAAATAACACTGTGTAGCAGATGGCTCGATGAGACAAGACACATGCATCTGCCTTGTTCTATTAGTCATGGTCAAAGAAGGGTGCTGAAGTCATCTTGGAAACTGTCTATGTGAAAGGTCCCAGGGTACAGCGCAAAGTGGAGAAAATTAACTGTTCTCTGTGCAATTTAATGCCTTGTAGCTGATGGTGCCATTCTAGCCAAGGACAGGGATGTGCTAAGTTTAAAAGTTACAGAGGAACTTTAGTCTAAGAAAAAAGTAGGATCTAGTCCATTTGAGAGTTCCCTCAGAACTTTCTCAGACAGGTTTTCCTACTAGAAACCACAGACCACAACTAGCCCCTGTCATGCAAAGAGAAACAAGACTTGCTCAGGAGGTCCAGTGAAAAGCAGAACATTTATGTCAAGGAACAAAAAATTTTTGAAAAAGAAGAGAATGGAAATGCACCCTGCAAGATACACTCAGCACAATTCCTGCCAGCCATGTTTGGGGCTGATGCGCAAGGCTAATGTCTCCTCAAGGGTAAGGGCTGGTCTCTGCAGGAGTTTTTCTGCTATGGGAGTTTCAGACAGGAGAGCCTGCAGTGCCTCAAACATCTTGTAACTCTGAAGCAGTAGATCTACCCTGCAGGAGGCAAGAAGAGCAGATCCCCTTGTGATGCCTCCGGGAGGACCAGCCGCCCTGAAGACAACTGAGAGCATCAGTGCAGCATCTTCCTGCCTCTGCCCACATGGTGCTGTGAGACCACGGCCAGGCTGCACATTCCTCAGAAGACTGGAAAAAGATTATGTACTTTTAGAAAAACAGGAGTATTTTGCTGTCACGAAGCATTTGAGTCCCACAGCACATTCTGATTGTATTGCAGTGTTCTCTGAAATGTCACAAAATTTGGGCTGAGGAGGGAAAGCTCAAATTTTCTGCCAGAACACATGGCTTCCTGCAAATTTGCTTTGATGACTCATAAAACAATTGCAATTTGACTAAGAGCATATGACTGGTCCTGCACTTGGCATATATGAAGTCAGCAAAACAAAAACTGATGCTTTAGAGAGGAGCTCTCTCTGGCAGAAACTTCCAATTCAGCGGGACTTCATAATGAATGATCAATGAAAGGGTCTCTGTGAGGAGCCCTCAAGATCATCCTTTTGGTGGGAGAAACACCTCTGCTCCTTTACCTGTGGCTAAGGATCTCTGTGATGATATATAATCCACTGCCTAAGAATCTCAAGGATCATTCCTGATCCACCCTTACCTTTGATCATCTTCCTCATGTTTCTCTCAGATGTGGCTATCCCAGGTGATGCCACAGAGAAAAATCCCATTAGGAGAGTGACCCATGTAAATACCCATGTGGGGAAATGTCTGTGGAAACAGATCCCATGGAAAGTCCCTCCCAGAGAACACGGTGATTGTTGCTGATGTTGCCCAGATAAATTCAAACTACTGAGTGTAGCTGGCTATTTGGATACTGTGATTGACAGTCATACCAGTGATGCATCTATGCTGCAGTAGCTGGTGTATGTCCTGTGATCCCTGGTAGATGCTGCCAGTGTACAGGACTTTGCCCTGAATGGGAAAACAACTGAGATTTCCAAATGGTCGTGGTTTAACAACAAAAGGAAATCAAGGTTTAGTTTTTTGATTACTTTAAAATACAAATAAAGAATAGCACCCACCAGTGTGCCCATCAGCCTGTGTTCCTGTTGAGGTCAAAGCTGAACTACATCTGGCATTGGGTACGTGAAGTAGTTCAGAACAGCAGCGAAAAATGCAAATGTGGTGCTGGCGGGGCCGGGGAGGAGGGCAGCGGTGACGCGCAGGAGCGAGGGCAGCATCTGGCTGCATCACTCCAGAACTTGGAGTCTGCTGCTTTGAGGGGCTCTGAGCTGCCCTGACAGCCGAGCCCAAGGGCCCTTTTGTGGCTACCAAGAGAGACTGATGCTAAGAAGCTACGAAACAGTTTTCCAAGGTGAACCCCACTCTCCCCGAAGGATGAGGAAATGTGTCATCTTTTACCATCGTTGCCAGTTTGTGGGGATACTCTATCCAGCATAGGCACACAAAAAAAGAATGTACTGCACTAATCTGCTGGACAATTAGCATTTAAGAGAGAAAAACAGAAGTTAAATGCTGCTCTAGAATGAGCACAGCAGCAGGTTCACACAGCAGGAGATCTTGATCACCACAGCCCTGAGCCATCTTGTAATACATACAAAATGTATATTACATGTAATTATTGATCTGTGGGTAAAAGTATGTGCATGCATATACATATATTCAAAAATGAGAAATAGACAAGCGAGTTGAAATTAATCTGCATAGGAATTATTTTAAATAGCCAGATAGGTAGATACACCCAAACTTACACACAGATATGTCACTTTTGAAGCATTGCTAAAACTCAGATACAAATTTTGAGAGCTTGATTTATTTATATTTACTGTTACCAAAAGACAGCATTAAAATTTCTGAATTAAGATGACTTAATCTATATAAGAGATACAGATTGCTTGATGCTTTCTGTGGAAAAAAAAATATTGTATTAAAAAAACCCCTCTATATTGTATAAACACACAAAAGTGATAAGCATCATACTAATAAGTACCACATCAGTAAAAATTCTTTCAGCCGTTTGATACTGCTGTGCTGAAAAGTGACAGAAATTTCAGATAATTTTCTGTGAGTCTAATTGCAAAATCAAAAGAAAGAAAAAATATTGGTCTTGCAATTCAAATATCTGCTTAATGTTTAACTAGCACAACTCACTCTTGGGCAGGACTCTCAGATACTAAACTTCCATATTGTGATTATGTGGTTCCTTATTCATGGAAATCACATTGTAATCAGAGAATATATCATAAATAAACTTCATGACCAATGTTACGTATGAAATTGGAAAACCTTCTTCTGGTACTATTCCTCCACACACTAACAGAATTTTTGCTTTTAGCAGACATGTACACGTACATAGCCCCAGTTACGCTACCCTAAGCCTCAAAAACAACACACACAAATATGTTCATCACGTAAATGGTTCTGATGACTCCACTGGAGCTTGCACTGGTAAGAGCCCTTTATACAATTTAAAGTTTACATAGTTTTGTGACTTTTTTTTTTCCTTGATCAGACCAGAGCATGTCTCTGAGATCTCTGAGCCTGGGTCTGGTGAAACCAAGGCAGGGCTCAACATGTGGGAGGAGAAAAAACAGTCCCATGTCTACCAGCATAGCACATCCTTCACCAAAGTGGTCGACTCTTGGGTTTGGACAACACCTAGCTGAATGGTCTGAATCTGTGACTCTCTACCAAGAGCAGAGCTCATGTGCATATGTCCATGCACATGCTTAAACTTGATGCTCTGAAGCTGCTGGGATGAACCAGAGTGCGTAAAACAAAGGACACCAGTAAATGCTTGCAGGATCAGTGACTGAATTACTCATGTAGATAAAGTTTTCCCAGACAGAGCCTTGTGAACTGCCCTATAGCAATGGACAGAGTATTGACAGGATTAATCTCATTCAGGGAAAATCGGTATAACCAGAGCGGTTTTGATGCGGGTTGGACAGACCATACAGGTCTGTGGAGGAGGACCACCTCAGTCCTGTCCGCTGACACCTGGCAAGATGCTGGTCCTTCTTCATGTGGCTTTGTAGCTCTCTTCTGGTTTTGGGGGATCTCCATCCCCCTCCACCAGTCTGTGGGTGGCTGGAAGAGAGGAGACAGAGCTAGGAGACAACCTGCACCTTTCAAAACAAGGTGAGGGCAAGAGCATTAGTGAACTTCTTCCCTCACCTGCTCGTAAGAAGCTGACAAGATGATGCCCGCTGGCTGGCAGCACTTCACTGGGGCTTCAGCAGGGCAAGGATGAAGTCAGACATGGAAGGCTCAAACACCCATTCCTAGTGATTTACCCGGAGCTGTTTAACTTGCTGACCGAAGCCACAGAGCTCGTAAAGAAAGCATTAAAGCTGCTAATTGCTCAATAGGGGTTTTCCAGATCTGTTTATTTCTAAACAAAGAATTAGTCCTGATTTACTGGAAGCTGGTGAAAAGACTTCAGTGACTTCAACTGTAAATCATTAATGCTGACAACTCACCACAGTAACTGCTTGCAATGTCCTAAACAAACGTTTCTAACAAAGTGTGTAAACGAAAGGCAAACAGGAAAAAAAAAAAAAAAGAGTTTATTAGAGTCAGACCTAAGCTGTTCTCTGTTTTCTGCACATGCTATCTAAGTATTTGTATAGCTCTACCTGTATATGTGCACATACATATACATATATATGATACCTGACATGCAAGGGGAAAAAAAAGAGATCCTCATGATTAGATCTGCAAGGTAGCATAAGCGCACAGTCATTTTTTTCATCAAAAAAAAAAAAGAAAACCTTTGTTGCTTCCAAACAGTGAAATTCTGGAAACCCAAAATTAACTCCTGGTAACTGAGTGAGTGTCCATGTCCTTCATGCACAGTACAACAGACTTTGTCAGTGCTACTTATATGAAGGAATACTGTCAGCAAGTAAAAGTTTAAAATATTTGAAGTTGAATCAGAAAATCCATTTTCCCATGTCCCTTTTGAGAAAAGAGAAGGTTGAAAGATTGGTTTTGTTATTCTTTTTATAGTTTGCCTTTTAATCTGGACAGTTCTGCTGCTGAAGAATTTTCTTCTGTCCAAATGAAATTTGAAGTAGGCCTGAATTTAAATTGCTGAATTAATTTATAATTTTTGGTGGACAAGTGATGGATGGTCATTAGTGATGGACTGTTGAGCAGCTGCTGGTGGAACTACTGCCTCAGCTACGCTATCACAGAGATGGGCATTATCCTTGTATATAATTTAGATAACCTTTTGAAGAAAAAAAAAAAAGATTTTTGAAATGGAACAGATTGGACCAAAGTTGAACTACATTAAAACATTTTCACTGGAAGAAACTGCCAAGTGCAAGAAAAGTCAGAATCTCGCCCTTTTCTGACAGCAGCTCAGGGTAATTTTAGCCTATAAAAGAATTAATTGTTCCCTACCAACAAGAGTAATTCATCACATAAAGGTAAATTCATTGAGAAAGGCTAGACTAGCCTGATCTTTCATGCCCTCTGCTTCCAGCTATCTGTGATTTGATTAAAATTTGGACGTTACAAGGAAAGCAAACCTGGACATCTGTAGATAATCCTCCAGCTCCACATTTATCTGAGGCACTGGCACTAACAGAAAGAACCCGAACAGTAAAATAACACATTTTACCCAGCAGTTATATCTCTCAGCTTTAACCCAGGTTTTCAAGACCATGTATGAATGGAGAGATGAACATGAAATTACTCACCATCACCATCTGCTGAGGTGCAACAACTTTCCCCAGAAGTCATATGAAGAAACAAGAAGAAAATGCTCAACGTGGTAGCGGTCCGTGTCATCCTGAGCCAACTGCATGTGTGCAGTACGTGCGCGCACAAAACTCTCGCTCAGTTACTTTATACTAGACGACAGAACAACCCATTGCCTGATAAAGAGACCGCAAGCAGGGGGAAATGTAAACATGCCGACAAGGATGACTAGTGGCAGAGAGCAGGAAGCCAGCATGAAGATATTAGCAGAGCTTTTACTTTGAAACTTGCTTCCCACTTCAAAACTAAGGGCCTGATTCACTAAGCCCATTGGACTCACTGGGCAAAATCTGGTCAAGTCCAGTGAGTCAGAGACAAATTTCTTGGCTTATGCCCCTACTTTTCCCAGTGGGATATTTGCTATGAATTTCCAGGGGATCATGATTCAGTCCTTATGTTATGCAGCTTATTTCCAAAAACAGAGCGCTCAATTCCACCTTCAGTTTCAATTGTTTAGTTCCTCACATCCTCTTTCCTCTCAGTGGAGATACACAGGTCCAAAAGGGAAAAATTATGAGCTGTGAATTCCCATGCTTACACTTTCAGCGCTGGCATTGTGCAAGTCCCAAGCGAGGCAACGACGACCCTGACAAGTTGCAGTCTGGAAGATTAATCCTGCAAAACTCTACTCCTCAGAACAAAGTGACACACCTCACAGTTTTTTGAGTTTTGGACAAAAAGAAAGAGGCAAAAAAAAAGGAGGATAGTGAGGAGGTGCTAAATATTTCCTCCATGCACTTTCTGCAGCTCACTATACCAGTGCACAGCAGCAGGTTATGCAGGGCTCAACTCGCTGCTGACTGATGTGGCTGGCTGCAAGTGAGTGCAAGAGTGGGAGCAAGCCCTGGCATAGCACACCATGCACCAAAAAAGCTTTGTGTTGGGGGCGTAAAGGAAGCAGAGGGTAACATGTTAATGGTGCCTGAGCAAACAGAAAAATGACAACATTATTTCACAAGTCACATCATCTTTTTAATTCTGCAAGGAAAGAATGTAAACCAAGCACCAAGATGATGAATGGTCGGCCCTCACATCTAGGAAAGTGTCCTTGTCAGGCTGGGCCTCCTCTGGTGTCACTTCTGTCCTGAGGAGGGGGAGCAGACAGCCCAGCTGCCCAGGCATAGGGTGTTTCTGGGATCCTGTCTTCATGTCCCACTGGGTTTTCATGACAAGAAGAGGTTCCCTCTGTGCAGCAGCTCAGGGGGTCTGCCAGGGTACTGGTAGCGCTCATACATCTGTGTGACATCCCTCCTTGTGATCAGACTTTGAGGGTCCCTGTAGAGGGAGAGAGATCTCTGAAGACCTGTTAAGCCTACACAGACACTGAGAAATGGGGTTGGATTCATCCGACCAAAAGTCAGTACTAACGGTGCAGGTACCTACGTCAGAGCCTCTCGTGCTTCACTCCTCCCTTACCGCCGGTGGAGAGCAGCTGTTTCTTTTAAAGTCTGATTCATCCCACCCTGAAATAGACATTTAAAAGATGACATTTAACCCTTAGATATGTGTAACTCTCTTCAAGATGAGCCCAAGGAGTAGATGCCTCCCTTGGGGAGGAGGATGCCTCCAGGGGAAATCGCACCAACAGGGGCAGGAGAGACGTGTCAAGCTGTGGCAGCCTGAGGAAAGCGAGCATTAGGCTAGGGAGCCTGGGGCGAGATCCTGTCAATTTCTTCTCATCTCCCCACTGGAGACAACAGCATCAGCACAGCTCCACTTCAATCTTCTTGCCTTCACTGACAGAATTACTTGGGGCGCAGCACCCACCAGGTCGCTCTCCCTCCAAAAAATGTCCTGTTTCAGAGGGGCTGGAGCACCGGCGGGCCTTCAGGAGGGACTTCTCCCTCCCAAGTGTCCTGTGGGTCACCACAAGCTCACCAAGGCCAAATTTGAATCAAATAGCGATGTGATGACTTAATGTCACTAAGGCTGACCCTCCTCATCAACTTAAATAAACATTAAGAAAGTCTACTTGAGAATCTAAGCATCTGGATTGGTAATATTTCATATAATATCATTCTGGAAAGCCATCAATAAAGGATGGCTCTGCTGAGCTGAGTGATCAGTTGCCAGAAATGACACCGTCTCACTTTAAATTTGTCTTGTTTATAATTGAGTGGGCTATGACTTGATCGTTTTTTTTTTTTCTTTTTTCCTGTTTCAGCTGAAGCAAACTTAAAAAAAATAGACATTTTAGACATAATATTTTGGTTGAACATCGAACAATCTTATTATCAGAACAGCATCACCCAGGGGATTTCCATGTTGTCATAGTTGCATTTTGTCTGGGTGGGGAAACAAGGGACCACAATGAAAAGGAAAAAAAAAATGTATCAAGAAAAACCCTGAAGCAAAAGTACATTTTGTTTTACTTCTGGGGATCTACTTCAAAAACTGCTTGTTCTCTATGAAATATTTGGGTCTATCAGTCTCCCCTTGCTACTTCTCTCCAATGTCCTGCAGATCAGATTTTCAATTTGTGAATTTAAATCTTAGGGTAGCTGAAGTGTTGGTACCCAGGAGCGGTCGAAAGGAGACTGGATTACTCTTTATTCTTTTTTTGCTATGAAGTTGCTCTGTATCTGTCTCTATTTCTAGAGTACCAAAAGAAACTTCTCTGAATCAGATCTTTAAGGCGAGCAGAGGGATGTGGTTCTGCCAACCACTTGGGGCTGCCTTAGGAACTCTAAAAACACACTGGATCAGGTAAAAATACACAAGTTTATTAAAAGCACAGCTTAAGGCAATGGCTTCAAAGAACTGCCTCTTTAAGACAGTTTAAAGCAGGGAAGAGTTTAGAAGGTCCAGCAAAAAGATACAAGTGTTCCCTTGGTCTGGTAGCCCTCATTAGCTTTGGGTTGCAAAACTCCGCTCGGAGGGTCTGATTTGTTCTCTCCACTGTTATATTTTTGGCCATGAGCAATGTCCAGGTTACCAACACTACAGCTGGAGAAAGCAAGATTTTATGTAGCTCTCGTTTCTCGAGTACACGTGATACCTGCAGTGTCCTCAGTGCTTCCTGCTGTCACTCCACAGGATCCGTCACCTCCACAAATTCAGTCGCATCTCAGATGTTAACAACGAGTAATCAAGGAATCAATTTACAAGTTAGCAGTTCTATTTGCTTCTTATGCAGTGCTTTTGTCCACCTGCTTCTGGTCTCCCTGAGCACACAAAGTCACTTTTCATTCCTTTGGAGATCCAAAAATTGTTAAAGACTTCTGTACATAATCTAGAATCAATTCTGCCACCAGAACTGGTTTAGAGTGATGAAATGGGTAGATCCCACCCTTCTGTCTTCTACACTCCCCTCAAGGGTGTCAGTTCAGAGTGATCCCAAAGCCATTATTATGCAAGAACATAATAAATAATAAAACTTAGAAAAACAGTTCTGGGGTGAAACAGGAGGGTTTAGTGTACAACTTGTTCAGACATTCAAATATAAGGAGACCTATCCTAAGACAGGAGGACTAGCTGAATGATTTTATTTCAAATTAACAATTAAGCAACAGTAACAATACCAAACCAGGCATGCTAGAAATTTTGGGCTCCTTTCATTTGCCTTCTGGTCTTCAAGGACTGCTCAGGATCACATATTCAGCTATTCTTCAAAATAAACTTCTCAGCTGAAATGTAGTTAAAGAAATGAAAGCTTAATATTACTTTTTTGGGGTTTTAGAGAAATATACGCTAGTATAAGACAAACTGCTCATACATGAGATCTGGACAGGAGAGCACAAATCAATAATGCAGTCACCTTGATTCCACTGTGATTTCTCAATAACATTTTTCAAATACAATGGTGGCCAAAAACTGGCACTTTGGTGACAGTGAAGTATTTTGTGAATGCATTTTATTTCTGCAAAAATATCTTAATTTGGCATCCCCCACTAGTTTTTAATTTACTATATTTAAATTAATTTTAAATTTAATTAATTTAAATTAAATGTGAATGATTTTTCTTTCTTTTTATTTGTTTTAAAATTTTCCTTTATCTCTAGTTTAGAAACCTAAACTGTTAGCAAATAGAATGATTTACTCTAGGTTGAATGAACTCTCTAAGAATATGCCCACCACAGCTGTAACTGCTTTTGGATGTTTAGTCATGGGGTTCCTGTCATGCTGACCCCACTCCAAAAATAAAATCCAAGAGGATGAAGGAAGCTCCATATCTGATGTGTGATTAGTTTGTGACCCTGAGCTGGACTTTTTTTCTGAGTCCTAGATGAAAAGGGAGCACTAGAGTTTAGCAAACAGGTCAAAGGCAAGGAGAGAATAAAAACCATATAAACACTTGACCCTCCGAAATGTAAATTTGAAGGAAAAACTCCTGATGGAATAGTTATCTTGAAACAATTAAGACTGGCATGCTGGGATAAAGTGTGAGAAACCTGATTTGTATTTCTTATATTTTATAATTCTTCTGGGTGTTGGCTGACCTGGCTGGATGCAGCTGTACTTGGATGCAGGGCTTTGCAAGTTCCACGTCTGCCTGGCCATATTACTGTGTACAAGTACTATCAGTACTTGCTATTTTTGAATAGGTATAGCAATTCTGAAAGTGGACAAAAGTGGAAGTTGAATCTTCAAGAGAGAGAAGAAGGAGAGCTGACAACGGGTCCTGATTGTATGCAGCAGGGGCCAAGGCCCTAAGACAGCTCTGATAAGTCCGAATTTGAAGGTTATATATATATCCTTTATGAGCAAAGACCCATCACTTACAAGGCAGATGAGTGATGAAGATACATTCACAACACAAACTTTTTAAGAAAATTAAACGTGGGAGGATTTCAGCCTTTCTCTTTCTGCCCTGACCGATGCTCTCTGCCTGGCTTCCTTCCCAGAGGTAGATTCAGAGGCCTTATCTGCCATTTAGAAGTCAGCTCCTGAAATTAGCCTCAGACACACACACAGATCAGGAGGGCGCACGTGGCAACTCAGGAGGATGGAGCTGGCTGAAGACAACCTTAAATGTTGCAGTTCCTTTTCCTTATAGTTGCAGATTTTGGTACATGCCAGTCTTCTGGTGGATTAAGGAAGAGCATTAAAAGCCAAATGTAGCCATGCTGATTTTTAGTTAAAGGAATAACAAAGTTTATTGTTTAAAATGAGCATTGCTGAATACAGATTAATCAAGGTGAACATATTAAAATGTTTGTTGAGAAATAATTTAAAAGAACTATGTAAAATGTTTAAGCAAATGAGGACTAGATAAACATTAGATAACAAACGGTTACAGAAGA